TGGAAAAATTTAGAGTTTCTATCACTAAATTATATCTAGTTCATGTGCACTTTCTGAAACCAATATGCTTCTTCTTGCATCCATAAAGAATGGATTCTATCAACAAGAAGCTTTTGCCTTAGTGCATTCATTTCAAATTGTTCTTCTAATTGTAAAACATCAAGTTCTTGTTGCGATCACTCCACCTTTTGATGTGAATTTCCTGAGGTAGATTTACACCAACTTTTCAAATGTTGTCCACAATGAAAGAGTTTAGAAGCCATACAAAATAGCGGGGAGCCAAATCATTCTATTGACCAACCTTGAGATATAGCTCTTTCATACCAATTTTGTAGTTGCCATGTCAGCTCATATTGAAACTGCCTTTTAGGATAAGCATGAATAGCTTTTAAACATAATAAAAGAGGGCAATGATCTGACCCAATTCTTGTACAGTGAAATAACTAAGCATTCGGGAAAATTTGGCTCCATTTATAATTTATCAGAGCTTGATCAAGCCTTTCGCTAGTATTTCCTCTGGACCATGTATATTTAGACCCTTTATATGCAACTTCCCTTAATGAGCAAGCACAAATTAATTCCTCTAAGTCTTTTGTCAGTCACCAATGGAGGACATTTGCCCTTTTTATCACAATTGTCCCCCACTAAATTTAGATCCCCATTAACAGCCATGTAAGAGAATCATAACGGCTCAAATTCCACACTCCATTCCACATATTCCTTTGCAATTGAACATTAGGCTCCCCATAAGCAAAGGAAAAATGCTATGAGATAGTGTAATCAACATCAGAACAACAACCATCAACCATAATTTTGTCAGAAGAGAAAATTGAGATATGAATATCCTCAGTCCACCACAAGGCTAGACACCCTGAATAGCTTACCGGATCCACATAAGCACAACTTGAAAATGCAAACTTTCTCTTTAACTGCTCCATGTATCTCCTAGGTTTTTTAGTCTCCATCAAAAAACTAAGTATAACAAAACTAAGGGCAATGTTTAGAGATGAGATCATTAAGTGCTCTTTGTGTTAAGGCTTTCCCAAGGCCCTGACAATTCCATGATAGTATATTCATATCGTTGCGGGTAGCTGCCAAGGGCCAGCCACTGAAGCCCCATCATCTTTATCATCAAAGGAGAATTGCTAGTTAAATTTGATGGAGAATTAGTGAAATAGGTAAGAGGAATACCTAGAGCATGATCCATAACAGAGACTAAAGGAACAAATGGGGGTTCATCGAAAGCTCTTTGGGTTGGATGAAACGAGTAGAGCAAAGTGAACCAAGGATCTAGTTGAAAACGCACTTGTCGATCTAAGCCTTCATTCAAATTCTTCTACACACTCTTTGAACTGAAGTAGATTCTTCCACATCAATAAAGAAACCTTTTTGGTCATGTATGTGGAAATTAGATCTTCCCAAAGTTAGAGCTTCTTGCAGTTGGGTTGGAGAGCATTGTAACTGAAAAGCCTCATTAGCTCTTAACAAGCTTGTTTGAATATTTCTTCAAATGGCCTACTTCACTTCTACATTTTTTCTCTACATTGGAATTGTTTCCCAAGGACAATTGGGATTCCACCCACTTGAATAATAAGCCCAATTCTAGACATTAAACATTTTTTTCAAGCCCATTAGACTAAATAGCTAGATTGCTTGAATTATCTAGATGCTTATCAAAACAAAAGGACTCTATATCAATCACCATCACATTTAACGGTGGAGGCTTTACACCAGTGTGACAGAGGAGGGTAACAAAGACTCTAAACTTGCATTAGGGGTGCTAATCATACCATTAGAGGAATTGAAATCACCCTCATTTAATGCAGAGGGTGGCAACAGAGAAAGGTGGCCATCCGCGTGCTCTTCTTCTTCTTGTACTACATATTCCTTCTCTGATATTTTTGCCTAAGTAAACACCAACCCCTGGTCAGTTGATTTTGTAGGCATTAAAGGTTTTCCATCTAGTCTAACAGTTGCTATTTGTGCCGAAGCTTCATCATGTGGCTAATAATATTTCTTTCCTTCATGGATTGAACCAAAATGCCCTCTTAGTGAATAAGTTGATGCCTTCATCTCTGAACCATATTGTGACTTGGGTTGAGATATATAATTCCCATCTTCATCCTTTCGTCCAAAATCATCACAAGATTTTTTAGTATGGCCCAGCATCCCACATCTATAATAGAAATCAACAAGTTTCTCATATTTAAATTCTGCAAACCAAACTTCCTCTCCTTATTGTTTAAATTGGAATCTTGAAAGGAGAGGAACATGAACATCAATTTCAACCCTTAAACGCAAGAAACTCTCCAAACGTCCTAAAGTAGACTTATCCCATGATATCAGATGAGGGAAAAGTGAACCAATAAGCTGAACATTATCCAGAGTCATGCATACTTTCGATAAGCTGTGAACTTGCACCCAAAATTCTAAATGTGAAAATCCAATCTTATCAAATCGTTGTGAGGCAGGTCAATCTTTAAGAACAATATGAGAGCCTTTCACAAACCCCGGAGATTCCCAAAAAATTTGATCTTTTTCCTTTTCATTGGAGAGGATGAAAATATAAGTATTCTTAGATTGCTCATGTACTTCCAAACCTCTTTTCGACCTCCAGGCACTCTTCAAAATGCTA